GTACACAGGGCTGTAGGAGGGGGATTAAGTGGGTGGGTAGGGTCAGTGATGAGGGGGGAGAGTGTACACGGGACTGTTGAGTTTATATTGAAGCAGTGAGATGGGCAGGTTGAGCAGTTGCCTGATCCTTTTCTCTTTTCTGATGGTCTCTGATTATTTCTCCCATGTTTTCAGGCTGCTATGAAGGAAATCATTCTGTTCCGAGCTCGCCACATTTGGCTCACAGCAATTTACCAAATGCTTCACAAATGGAGCGCAGATGAACTGGAGAAGCTGCGAGACTGGAAACTGCAGCAATACCAGCTCCACCTGATGCAGATGAGGAAATGGCTGAGGAGGATGAAAGGAATTGATCATCTGTATGTTACCAGAAATCGAGTGTTGGTTTTAGACTGTTCGATTGTTCACAAGGAGATGGGTAGGTGCAGCTGGTAAACCCAACATTATGCCACCCGTTCCAGTTGGCAATGTCTGTGCTGTGTGTGTGCGTATCAGTACTGACCCCACAACCACCCACCACTGCCCCCCCAACGCCCCCACCCCACCCCTCCATCAGCACACAGTGACCTGGGTTTTTCACAATGAGCCACCCCAACCTCTCTCACCCCTTTCTTTTGCAGCACCCTCTCTGAAGTCCATGCAGCTGGAGATTCTAAGGTTTTCGAAAGTGGAATGTGAGCAGCGTACAGAGAAGCTTGTCATTGACCTGTCAACAGCCATCAAAGAACTGCAGGACAAGCCAATAGGAGATGTTGCCTTCGCCTTGTACTCAAGAAAGGTACCATATTTCTATAGACTGAGAGTCCCCATGCGGGAGTTGGTAGCCCTGAAGCCCCATTTAACAGACATTTCATCATTACTTGCTCTGGATCACTCTTACAAGCACCACAATCTTTGTAGAATTGCACAGCATTTCCATCCTAGAAGCTTGTGAATTACAATAGTGGCTCCATCACGAAAGTATCTTCATTGGTTGTAAAGTGCTTTGGCACAATCTGAAGTCATGGCAGGTCCAAAAGCGGGTTTCCATTCCTTTTTCTCTCCTACATTTATCCAGATTCTCTGAAATACATCTACTTCACTCTCCTCAACCCCTTCTTGTGCTTGCAAGTTCCGGCTCTCTCAGGAAAGGATCGGTGCTGGGTCCACTGCTTTTCATCATTTGTATAAATGATTTGAATGTGAACATAGAGGGTATGGTTAGTAAACTTGCAGATGACACTAAAATTGGAGGTGTAGTGGACAGCCAAGAAATTTACTTCAGAGTACAACAAGATCTTGATCAGATGGGCCAATGGGCCGAAGAATGACAGACGGAGTTTAATTTAGTTAAAATGTGAGGTGCTGCATTTTGGAAAGGCAAATCAGGGTAGGACTTATACACTTAATGGTAAGGTCTTGGGGAGTGTTGCTGAACAAAGAGACTTTCGAGTGCAGATTTATAGTTTATTGAAAGTGGAGTTGGAGGTAGACAGAATAGTTGAGAAGGCGTTTGGTATGCTTGCCTTTATTGGTCAGTACATTGAGTATAGGAGTTAGGAGATCATGTTGTAGCTGTACAGGACATTGGTTAGGCCACTTTTGGAGTACTGTGTGCTATTCTGGTCTCCCTCCCACAGGAAGGATGTTGTGAAACTAGAAAGGGTTCAGAAAAGATTTACAAGTTGCTAGGGTTGGAGGCTTTGAGCTATAGGGAGAGATGGAAAAACACTGGGGCTGTTTTCATAGATAAATAACATGAACTTAGTGTAATCATAGAATCCCTACAGTGTGGAAGCAGGCCCTTTGGCCCAACAAGTCCACACCAACCCTTGGAGCATCCCACCCAGAACCATCCCCCAATCTACACATCCCTGAACACTATGGGCAATTTAACATGGCCAATCCACCTAACCTGCACACCTTCGGATTGTGGGAGGAAACTGGAGCACCCGGAGGAAACCCATACAGACACGGGGAGAATGTGCAAACTCCACACAGACAGTCGCCCGAGGGTGGGGTCAAACCCGGTCCCTGGTTCTGTGAGGCAGCAGTGCGAGCCACTGAGCCACAGTGCTACCCCTGGAGCATCAGAGGCTGAGGAGTGACCTTATAGAGTTTTATAAAATCATGAGGGGCATGGATAGGGTGAATAGCCAAGCTCTTTTCCCCAGAGTGGGGCAGTCCAAAACTAGAGGGGCATAGGTCTAAGGTGAGAGGGGAAAGATTTAAAAGGGACCTGAGGGACACCTTTTTCACACAGAGGGTGGTGCATGTATGGAATGAGCTGCCAGAGGAAGTGGAGGAGGCTGGTACAATTACAACATTTAAAAGGCATCTGGGTGGGTACATGAATAGGAAGGGTTTAGAGAGATATGGGCCAAATGCTGGCAAAGGGACTTGATTTATATAGAATATCTGGTCAGCATGGACAACTGGACTGAAAGGTCTGTTTCCGTGCTGTATATCTCTATGGCTCTATGAAAGAGGCCACAATCTTAACTTCACATTGAAATGGAGAGGTATAATGAGCTCCCTCTCATAGAACAAAAACAGTCCAGCACAGGAACAGGCCCTTCAGCCCATCATGTCTGTGCTGACCATAATGCTATTACAAACTAATCCCATCTGCCTGCATGTGGTCTGTATCCCTCTATTCTCTGTCCATTTATGTATCTGTCTAAATGCCTCTTAAATTTTGGTATCATATCTGCTTCTACCACCTCCTCTGGCAGCACATTCTAGGTACCTACCATCCTCTGTATAAAAAAACTTTTCTTGCACATCTCCTTTAAACACTTCACCTCTCACCTTAAACCTACGCCCCCTAGTATTTAATATTTCCACCCTTGGAAAAAGACTCCAATTATCCACCCTATCCATGCATAATTCTGTTATATACTTCTATCAGGTTGTCCCCTCAGCCTCCAATGCTCTAGAGAAAACAGTCCAAGTTTATCCAGTCTGTCCTTATCGTTTAGACATCCCAATCCAGACAACATCCTAGTAAACCTCTTCTGGACCCTCTCCAAACCCATCACATCCTTCCTATAGCGTGGCGACCAGAACGACACATAATACTCCAAATGTGGTCTGACCATAATCTTACACAGTTGCCAATTGACTTGCCAACTTTTATACTTGTTACGAAGTTGGGTAGAGTAATTGTGACGTGGAAGGCAGGAAGCTAAAATGTGAGGTTCCTTCAAGAGATTTGTCCTTTGTCTGCACTTAGAAATTTGAAAATAAAAATATCTGTCTGTGAGCAGCATCTGAAGTTGCCAGTACAGAGAGCCCCACAAAGTGAAATAAGTATATCAAAAAAGCACCTTACAGGTGGCAGGTAAAACAGCTGTCTTGTTTAGATGTTGTGATAACAAGTTTGAATTTGGCCAATTAATTTAAAACCAAACTCAGTGATTCAGAGCCAATTGAATTTAAATCTGATGGTGTTGATAACCTGGAACCAATCAAATTATAAGAATTTGATTATGTCATTACGGGTATATAAGACGAGAGCATTTGGAAAGTTGGGGAAAGCTAACTGCCGTCTGAAAGAGACAACAAGGTGCAGAGCTGCGTGAACACAGCAGGCCAAGCAGCATCGTAGGAGCAGGAAGGCTGACGTTTCGGGCCTAGAA